GTCACGATGGGCTAACTGACCTATCTTTATCCTGATCCTATCATTCTTCGCTGATGCCCCGCCAGCGTAAACCGTTAGCGCGGGTGCATCATTTCATTATTATCAATAAACAAAACATTGTGTTTGTCAATATTCTTTTGAATACGGGAAATTCAAAAGAATATTTGGCATAAAGAAAAAAAATATGTCACGCAGGTACAGTGTAGACACACAGGTTTGTTGCAATTCAGGATAAAACACATTATCATATTATATGAACGCTTTCATGTAGTTACATATTGCATATTAATATTAACCGGATTTTACTAGAACAGGTTTCAACAGAGAAACTAATGTTCTACGCCATCTAAGTCATTAGGCACTCGTTTTTTATATACATAAATATATCGGACATGCAGACTATTCGCACTTAGAATTTCGGAAACCTTCAAGGTTGTGGCTTTATTTTTTGCAAGTAATAATAATTTTTTTAACAATCAAATAAACTAAATTACTACCTGTTTAATCTGTACAACTGATGAAAGAACTAGTTTACAAACGTTAGAACAGCTATTACAATTTTAAAGTATTATTATATATAACTGTATACTGTAGAAATTGTCATTTTTTAGGGTCAAAAGGGCACTTGTCGGTTATTGTTTACCGCCACCCCTAAGCATCCGCAACATCAAGGAAAGTTGAAAATTCTTTATTGGACTCTATATTGCATAAATTATAATAATAATAAACTAATATGAGTAATGTATATAATTCTATTCTTATGTCAGTATATTTGTTACGTTATCGCAATTAAGGTGCTGAAAGGATCTTAAAGTAATTTAGCATGAAAGTAATATTACGATAATGGGACATAGTCTGTCTTTTATTGCAAAAAGGCGACGAAGTCCTGGAACATAGCTATTATATTATTCTTACTCCTTACTACAAATATAACTGCGAAAGTAACTCTGCCTGTCTGTCTCGCTTTCCCGCCAAAACTACTAAACCGATTTGAATGAAATTTATTTATAGGTACGTAGATAGTCGAGACCATGATAAAGAACACAGGCTACTTTTAATGTGAAAATGGGGTTGTATGGGGTTGAAAGAGGAGATAAAGGTTTATATGGAAGCTAGAATGCTGAAACTTACTTTTTAAGTTGTTGATTAAATATTAATAAGTATGACGTTCAAAGTTTGTAAAAAAAACCCTTAAGGGGTAAAATAAAAAAGGGAAAAAAATGTGTATGGAAATTCGTGATTTTTTAAGCTTTAAGATTGTAATTAAAACTTTGTGGCACTGTCTTCTATATATCTATTTGTCATAACTCAAATTGTTTTCTTATGTAACACAATGTTACACTAAATGTACTCGCCTGTGTACACGTATTATTGTTTTACATATACGTGTAAAGTATTTTGATTACAAACAAATGCTTCAAACACATAAACGCTAAAGGGTTCCAAACACATACGAGAAAACCAAAATTTGATGATACAATTTTATTCGTCATTCGTTACTAATATTTTAAATTAATGGAATATTCTGTATCCTATACCTACTAAATATAAAAAGGCAAAAACGAACAGTTTTTGCCTTTTTTACGACTAATTAATTGGCTGAAAGGATTTTAATGTTTTACGAAAAGATAGTTTTTATCACGAAGACGATGTATCACACATAAACATATTTTATATAAAAAATAATCTGGTAAGTAAATTACTATAAACAATGGTAGGATTAAAAAATAACAGCACATTAAACATACCTAAAACAACTAAAAGTGACATTAATAAACATAAATAAAGTATAGGTACCCTAATTTGTTTTTTATTGTTGTAGTACCCTAATGATAATAAAGAACCATAGGTTCTTTATGGGGGTAAAGGGATTGTTAGCAATGTGAATTAATATGCCCATTGCTATCAATGTACTGTCAGATTGACCTCCACGCGGTAATCGCCGGAAAACTATCGTAATAAATTCCTTGTGGATTTGCCACGATAGGCTGACAGACCTGACCTCATTCGTCTTATCATCCATTACTGGTGCCCCGCCAGCGAAAGCTGTTAGCGCGGCGAGTCCACCATCTCTTATCATTAATTAAAAGATATATAACCTATTAACATGTTGTTTGTGCGGAATCCTTTTTGTGCGTTTCCGACTCGAGCTTGACCGTATTTTTGTCACGGTTACAGATCAAGAAAATCTTTGTAAACCGTGCGTTTTTTTTGTGTCGGCATAGATAAAAGAATAATATTACGGTTTGAATAGCAAATAGCTCGTAGAATTTCTAACACGTGGGACATTACATCTTTGTCACAAGATCTGCAACGTATGAGGGCTGTAGGTAGCATCGTAGTAATATTACATATACATATAAAAAATATACATAATCATAATAAAAATTGAATGAATATATACATCCAATTCGATTAGGTATAATTTTTTTAAATAACTGGAATGACAAATACAGACAACCAACTAATAGAAAGTCGTAATTGTCGTCTATACATAATCCACAATTTCATGGGTTGCTATTCCTGAAGACTATGCTTGCATTCTTCTGTGTTCTATAATTTCACTACCATTAGTCAACATGGAACCTAGAAAAAAATTAAGTAATCGAAATTCAATCATATTCATCCCTTTGCAGATTTTTATATAATTAAAATGCTAAATAAACTGACATGCCACTTGATGGCAAGTGGTAACCATCTCCATACATGAACAGCAGTAGACATCACGTTATCATATAACTTCCGTGAATTTCCTTTTTAGAGGTCTACTATTTCATATTATACTACCTGATCGCACACTAGCTACCATCATTGGCTTCGCACGGTCGTACATGTATAATATACATATAAATCTCCCTCTTGAATCACTCTAACTATTGCAAAAACTGCATCAAAATCTGTTACGTAGTTTAAAAGATCTAAGCGATCAAACAGCGGAAGCGACTTCATTTTATACTATGTAAACATTTCAACCAAAACCCAGCTTATAAAGCAAGCTGCTTGGCGGCTGAAATATATAGATTTTGTACGAAGTCTATTGTAATTAATTAAATGCTATGGTAAATAATTAAAAAAGGGCGAGCACAATAGATCTATGTAGGTCGCAGAGCTCCGGTCTTAATACATGACAATACCCAAAACTGTCTATAAAAAAAAATACAAAAATGATAATTAACTCTATGACACAGTCGAACATTTAAAAAAAATTAATTTCGGAATTACATAGTAAAGTAATGGCACTTGTCGTAATCACTCGCTAAATAGTCAAGTTACAACATTGTGCGAGTTAATAGGTGTACTTAGTATAATTACTTAAATTATCTACCGACGAATTTGTCATAGGGCTAACACACATGGACTGCTTCTCAATTATGCGTCTAGAATTTGTTATGCAAGTTAAAAAAAAATACTTTAACAATTTTTTTTAATTAACAGGAATTGCAAACAAGCTGACAGTGCTGATTGTCACCTATATACATTAACAGTGCCACGAATATCATGTCATCAAGTGTGACACATATAGGACCTTACAAGCGTTACTAAGATGTTGTACCTCCGTACCCTGTAATTTCATTGCCTTACCTTACAGCCGATACAGCTTAAAAAACTGCGCTGATTTGCGGGTGAAATTTAAGTGAGACAGAGATACCTACTTAGACGGACGGAAAGTCTACTTCGTGTATGGTATACCATATAGAACAGGTACATTTTACAAAGAAATGCAGAGGTATACCTCTGCATATATTTGTACCTACCCTGTATTTCTTTCTAATACCTACCTATCTTTGGCTTGATTTTAGTTATCCCAAATAAATTTTATTTATTAAAAAACTCTAATACAACTGCACATTTAACATATCTATTTCCTTAGCAGTTCTTAACCTTAATTCTCTAATACTAACATCCCATGAAGTAACCGCCTCTTTCTGTTTATCTATAAGTAGGTATGCCCTACGTGTGTACTTTAGCATAGCGAGCTTTAAACAACGGAAACCCACAAAACTGGGCATGGCATGGTAAAATATTAGGTAAACTAAAACAAACAAATGATCAAATAACTAGGTATATTATTTTCTTAACACTCAGCAAATATGTACATTTAAGATAATGTTTTGGTACATAACTGACGCAATTTAGTTTGAAGACGATTTCCAAACGAAGCATGGACAAATTAAATAGTCTAATTTCACAAAGTTCAGTTTCTCTGCAAGTTAAGTGGATAAATAAATGTCAGTAGGTACTTGCCTCTCATTCTCAGAGTATATAGCGGGTATGGACTAAAAATTATTGTCTTTCATGGAGAATTGTTGAAATAAGTTTGACCATTAATCATACACCAGTCCATTAATTTGTATAGTATCAATATACTAATTATATAAATATATATTAATTTTTACAATATATTAATTTCTACAGACGTCCAGCAGTGGACGTCTTCCGGGCTGATGATGATTAATTTCTACAAGTCGTCTCTAGTCGTGAACATCAAAAATAAATTTGAAACAATTGTGGTGCCTTTCCCAAGATTTAAATTATTGACGGAATATGTCAAGAACAAGAATAGAAGAAACAGATAGTTTTTAAATTACCACTTTGTAAAAATAATGTGGATATGTTACGGTTCACAGAGCAAGGTGTGTTCAACTTAACCTGTGACAGGTTACAGGTGAAATATTAGACTTAATTTGAGGATAGATAAAAATGAAATGAAACTGTTGTCCACACTTTGTCTCCCATTTAAGACCTTGTGCAAATAGTGATTTGAAACAGAAATTTAAAAATAATAAAGATTAGGAACAGCGCCATCTAACAAACATCGTTAAAATTACAATGTATAAGAGAAATCACAAATTTGAAGCAACGCGGATAATTTCACGTATCAATAGCGCTGGGTGTTTTATAGTCTATTTTACTATTTTTACTAATACTGTTTAAAGACATTTCGAAATAAAACACAACATATATAAAAAAAACAAAAATACAAATTTTTATTTACATTATACAAATTGTCGTAATTTTACATATCTTTATGCATGGAGCTTATATCAACTATCCATACAAAAACACAAGTAGAAGTATTATGTACCTATCATTTAGAAACAATATTAATTTATTCTTATTTATACATGTAGGCTAAGGAACTAATAAATAAAATTGAAGTGTCTGTAATTTCAAATTAATAGCTTTTCATTAAATGCATATGAAAGTGTAGTATGGTTCTTACATCAAAAAAAATAATATAAATATTTTTTGTCTGTCGTTTTTTGTATTCTTCTTAGTAGCAACCCAATGAATTACTATCCCGACTCAGACTTTTCGAAGATGAATTACAAAATACTGTTTATGTTCTATTTAATATAGAGAGAAATGTTATATATGTATAAAGATATACATATATGCATAGCAGCGACACTAATCGACGCAATATAAGTAATAAACTTGTGTCCTTATAATAGTTATTAAATTCATTTGTCCCTTGCATATTCAATAGTTATCAATATTATTTTATTTATCGATCTACCATGCGCAGACGTAGTGGACCATCTGGAGCATACATGAACGTAACAGCATACTCCAAGGGTTCGTGGTGGTATTCCAGACGATAACGACGTAGCAACTGAAAAATAAAATATCTGTGAATCATATAACTAGCCAAGCATAATAAAAGGGGAAAGGCAATAATAATAATAACGAGGATGTCAGATTATTAGAACAATAATATGATATGGGATACAAATACAATAAATCAATTGACCCTTGCACTAACGATCTGCCAAAAACGACCATTAGCTTTACCAAATCGGTATATAATGTAACTATATGAACTAATAGTATAAGAACTTGTTTGCTTTGTACAACATGCTAATATCAGGAACTACCGATTTGAATCGAAAAATACTTTTAGTGTCGGAAAAGAACTGTTATCGAAGAAGGGTACAATCAAGAACATCAGTGAAAAGTGCTGTAAATGAAGTTCCGTTAGTAGTAGTAGGGCTAGTAAAGTATTATAAAATTTAAGTTATACCTTAGCAAGTAAAATTTGGATCTCGAGATCGGCAAATCTTCGACCAAGACATATCCGAGCTCCGAAGCCGTATGGCAAAGATGCAAACGGATGTAGTCGACCATCACTCTCTAGCCATCGCTCCGGCTTGAACTCCTCAGGATCGGAGACAAACTGTTGCATATTGCCGGTCACTATTGTGGGAAATACTACTTGAACCTGTAAATGTCGATTTTAATTAATAATGCCTTACTACATAGGTTACACAATATAGAACAAAGTCTATCAAAGTTTTTTTTTTATGGATGATAATGGAATAGTGCACCCTCAATTGATTCCATATGGTTAACACAATATAAATTATTTAAAAATTAATTAATAATATGAACTCTAAAAAGACGTTTGGCGTTTTTACGAATAAAGGAGTAATAAATATTTTATAGGTCTAGCCCAAAGTTATGCTACAAATTCCACAAGTGAGGTATTAAAAACGCAATACATCGAGTTATTCTATCAGAATTGGCAAAAATGTATACAAAACTTACTCCTTTTGGTATATGATAGCCGCATATTACATCGTCTTCTTGAAGAGTTCTTCCATTACCAATAACAGTTGAATACATTCTGAAAAAAAAATTAAATGGTAAATATAAAAGTAGCTTCTTTATAATTCAGTTGCTTTTGTGTTATCAATATTTTGGTATCTTTATTTCTTTTAATATATTAACTTTATCTAACGTGTACTTGGTAACCTCCGAGTTGAATTCTTCTATTTTGTTAGGTAGGTAAATAGAATTTCAAATATAATAATAATCTCAGGAAATTCACACAGCGCCATCTAGACCCAAGTTAAGCTAGTTAAAGCTTGTGTTCTGGGTACTAGATAACTGATACATATACATAGATTTCTTTTTTTTTGTAAATACATACATATTATACATAGAAAACACCCAGACCGATACAAACAATCATACTCATGAATACAAATGTTTGTGCCGTGCGAGGAATCGAACCCGCGACCATTGGTCGTAAAGCGATGTGCTAGACCGCTAGACCACCGAGGTCGACAAATCAAAAATCAAATATGATGACGGTTCACCTGATAATAAATTATAACTATCGTCTACACACGTAACAGTAGCATGAATATACTCTTTACGACGCCCGTTGAAATCTTTACCACTAAAGTGTTACCCTTGAAGCGTACGTATATATGTAAATAAACAATCATTCATTCATTCGTCTATATATTTCTATGTATTCTATATTCTATAGGTATCTATGTATTCGTTTATATATTCATTAAAAAACTAAACTATCATAAGTTAGTTCCAGTAAATTACTGGCTTATCTAATCCTTCAAACCGGACAATATTTAAGCAAGATTTGGCGGGAGACATAGGAGATCCAGATGACATTACACAAAATCTTTCTCAACATACTTAGTTTTCAAAGATAACGTAATTTAGATTTACCTGAACACTTCCCTGACGAACGCCTTAGTATAATGCAGCTTATCCAAATCTGCGTAAGTAAGGGGTTTGCTGGGATCAGGTAGTACCCTCCTAATCTCCTCGGCCATCTTATCCTGTTGTTTTAACCGTGTCGCCGCCTGATACAGTATAGAACAGACTGCCATGGATATCTGAAAAATAATTATATTTCTCATACATATAACTGTGGTAAGCAATTTAGTATAAGTCCATCTAATATTACTTTTTTACAAATTTGTTCTGTTCTGTTTAAAGTAGTACTGTATTTAAATATATTGTCTTTAATTTTTTCTAAAAATGGTGGAATATGCAGAGAGCCGAAAAATCACTTAAAACTCAAAAGACCGATTATACAATTTGGGTGAATGATATCGTTGTCAATTTTAGTTGTTAGTTCTTTTTCAAATCACGTTAAATGAACTAGTTAACATCAATTTACCATACACAATACTTAACTCTGAAACTAATTCTTCAATAGTGAAACTGAAACAAACGCATTATTGAAACTCACCGTATCAATGCCCACTAATATTAGATCGAGAGCCATGACTGTAGCGATCTTGGGATCTCCTTCACTCTGCAATACTCGCTCTAATAGAGACAGATCATTCTCCGATGTCACTTTCTTTGTCTTGAGCCTCTCTAATGCCTCATTGATGTAACGGGAGCATAGTCTATTTAAAACATTAAAAGATCTGGTTAAAAGTTTACATTTAAAACAAAATAAATCTTTTCACTTGTGTATTGGTATTGCCTATATTCTTTTGGACAATAGGTAAAAAATGAGATACTGTAACATAGTATTTTAAAATAGACAGGTAATTGAGAGCCTCAGGGTTCTAGCGGTTAAGCACACCGCTTTACTTCCGATGGTCGCGAGTTCGATTCCTAGCACGGTATAAACATTTGTATTCATGAGTATGATTGTTTGTATTGGTCTGGGTGTTTTCTATGTATATTTTGTATGCATTTACAAAAGAAATGTATGTAAGTATTTATATCAGTTATCTAGTACCCAGAATACAAATTTAATTTATCATGGGACTGGATAACGCTATGTGAAATGTCAAAGATTTTTTTATATATACTCAATACAATAAAAACATCCATTAATATTGCTGTTGAGCATCTTGTGTAAAGAGTTTGATATAGCAGTAAATTAAACAGTAAGAGGGCATAAAAATTTACAGTATCAGGAATGGCAACGTTTTCCAATGTACTTTGTGATGTTCCACTATCTATGATAGAATTAATATAATACAGGCGATGATTAGTACATTAAATCAGCTAATTTATTTATTAACGCTTTCATTATGTAAAATACGGTATGTTTATACCACTGATCCAGATTTATCAGTGGTATTTACTATTTTTAGTGCTTTAGTATATATTATTTCTAAATTCTTTTACGCAACCAGATACTTTAATATTAAATACTAAATAAAGTTCCTTACTCAACAAAAAAATTCATATTGTTCACGTATTTCGTCCATAACGGTGTGGGTATGTACCGCCAATATGGCGCCTTTAATTCCAGAACAGCCACATTTCGCAGCGCGTATTTTGCTGCATTGATAATCCGCTGTGGTTCTGAATCGCTGGAGAGTTTACTCGATAAACAACCCAATCTCACATCTAGGGCTACACGGCCAATACCTGTAATATGGCAATAGATGGCGTTATTTATAGAAAATGATTAAACGTTTCTAATTTGAAAACAGATGTCTCTACTAGTAGTAGTTATAGGGTTGCATTTGCATAATTGGCTTGTAGTAGTATAAAAATATTAATGCAATTTAAACGTTAATTAAGATTATTGGACATTGATTGATTAGATTAAATTATATAGGCTTAACTAAGCTAAGACTATATAATTCAACGATGAAAGAAAACATATCAAAAACTAATGTAAACAAAACATTCTTTGTATGTAGAGACAGGTCTATAACATAAAGGCTCATGAAATGGTTTATTAGGTAGGTACCTATATTTATTAAGGTAAACTATATTTATTAATAAAGAAGCCAATTTTAGGAATACACAAACAAGGCGGCAAGTTACGGCAAGTAGCAATCGTCTCCTATATTCATGAACAGACGGATATCACGTGATCAGGTGAACAACATATCCTGCCCTGTAATTTCACTGCCTTATATTCATACTTCAACTGAAACACATATTCCAAAGCAAGCTATTGGTGGCTGAAGTAGAACATACAAGACGACTTTGTATAAAGTCTACCTTGGTAAGAAGTAGGAACTAAAGGAGATTCGGACATTAACTTGAAATAATATAAATAAAGTTGGTATTAAGCAATATGAGGGACAGGAACAGTTATCTTCGTCATAACTGCAGTGCTAGGACGCATGAAGTAGGAGCTGAGAAGTCGTGGCTATAATCTTAATCTACAACCAGACCACTAGACTGTGACACCTAATATGTAGATTTAATATTTAATCAGATCTACGAGTATATGAGTTAAATATTTACATTCAAGCGACCATCGGTGTATGTCATTGTCGAACTCGAGTGGCATGTCCCCATTCTCATCGCGGGCATCCTCCATATATCTGATGAAGTCTTCAGTGACAAGCTCTATTGGTGTAACGTATTTCTTCACCGTTTGTGGTTGCAAGATTGGCCGCTGAACTTTGGAACGAAATCTGCGCCATTGTTCGCCATGCCTAAAAAAGATTAAAATATTTTGTTTACATTTCAATTATAATGTATGCCTATATCTAGATATAAAGGTACGTATATACCCAAGTAGGTACGAAATAAAACTATAAACATAAGTATTTTTTGTGTGTACTTTTTTACAATTTTATGTACATTCTTATAATTAGGACGAGAAAATATATACCTAAATGATTGTTTTAGCCACTCATAGTTAGATCGTATAACTTTATTGTGAGATACAATATTTTCCGATAACAAAAGTCTGTGTCCAATTATTTTGAAAAATATATTTCCCGATACGATTAATGTTTTTGTGTAGTTCTTTAGTTGTAATTAAGTACATTCAAATATCTTCCCAAAAGTTTACGTTTACAATATTAATACGATTAAAATGAAAGAAAACTACTTTAATATTGTACCTACTACAAAAGAATTTATCTCAATCTTGACAATATTAGTACGGTACCAAAATGCAATTAAAAATATCGATCGATCTAAAAATATACGACGATCCAATTATGGACATGATATCGCGTAAGTTGAATTGAATACTTTCTCCTTTTGAAACGGTTAAAAATAAATTCTGTAACAAACTTTAATCATATTAAAACCTTATCCATAGAATGATGTAAATTGGAACAAAAGTACAGACAGTAGTAGATATAAAACCTTTTTACTACTTATTTCATACATTTTAAATTGAGAAATTTTTGCGTTCTCGATTGGCTTTTGTTTTTTTTCGAGTTAATATTGACGAATTGATGTTTTTATGGCTCTGACATTAATTAAAACCACAGAATTTGTTATGAATTCCATACAGATTACATAAAATTGTTGTATTTAGCATTGCATTGCAATAAAAGCCTGCAAAACAAAAAGTCTCAATGTTAAATTTTTATAACATCAAGGTGATCGTTCGTGACCTTAGTTGTAAAATAACGTGGTTGTATGATGTCGCTATAGTACCTACTTATTGTGTAGATGAGGCAAAGAAGGGCACTAGTCAAACTCGTTTTTCAGTGTTAATAGGCTACCTCAAGTTCATTTAAATTCTCGCCTACTCTCTATGTTTTTACCCATTTATTAAAAAGATATAAGACAATTGATGAATTCCAGTTCTTGGATAGTATACCTATATGTATATATAGGTATACTATTGTTACAGATAAGCAGACTAATTAGTTGTATTACTACTGTTACCCCTGGCTTTGCTGCAGTTATACAAATTGTCATATGTAAATATATGTTCATGGTGTAGATATTTTTATATAAAAAATATTAAAGAAATGAGATATTTTATAAACTAATGTTCTTAGTGAATTGAACTGCAAAGAACCTGAAGTCTACCTGATAGAAAGAAGCCACCATTATTAACAAACAAGAACAATTGTACTATACGTTGAGAATCATCATCATCATCATCAATCGTCACCATTCAAAAATAGGCGTATTCTCAAAAGAAGAAAATATGTATACTAAATTTTATGTCTTAATTACATCTAGCTACATATCAACTAGTCTCCAAATGCTAGATAATCAAACCCACTGTCGTGTAAAATGCAAATAAACTGAAGTACTTACAATCTAAAGAGAACTTAACATACCATATAAATATTTGCACACATAAAGCCTGTTGTCAAGGCAGTTCATAAAATACGAGTGTCCATAAACTTGACTTACGATTTGTATACAATAGATACACATAAAGAAACATACTCGTAATATGCTTTTCACTTTTATACGTTGAGAAAAGACATATCTAACGCTGCGGTAGGTACTACTTACATAGAAATTTTCTGCTATAGAGAGATCAGTATGAAATAATGGTAATAATGAAAATTGTTAATAAATTTATAATCGGCTGAAGAGATTTATTTTGAAAAATATGCCTCATACAAATTACACGAGTCACAAACTTGTTTTATGGGTAGCCATAACACAAGCTCTGCATAGATCGACAACTGATATAAATACATAATTAATATTTATACCAATCAAACAATCATTCAAATGTTTCTACCGTGCAAGGAATTGAATCCGCGACCACTGGAATAAGCGGTGTACTAAACCGTTAGATCACAAAGGCCGTCAATTTATGTGTTTACATTTAGCATTACGAATAAATGAGTAAATTATAAATACTATTAGATATCTGTACGTTGTAGTCTAAGATATGTTATGAAAAATATATTCCCTCTGTTATTTGATAATGACGTCGCTCTCCCGAGAGCGATTTATAAATATACATATCATTTAAACAATCTACATGTCACCTAAACGTCGTCATTATCAAATAACAGAGGGAATATATTTTTCATAACATATCTTAGACTACAATGTAACGGCCTAAATTCTGCTAAAGGGTGTTGAATATATGAAGTACACTTTAGTTATTTTTGTTCATGAAAATCAAACATAATTCCAAAGAATAATACACAAATAATTGAAAAAACATATAATAATTATTGAAGACGTAAGTCTTACAGTGCCGTAGGCTAATGTATCTTAGACACAGAATTTATATATGTGGATAATATAAATCCACATATACGTACATATAAACATTTTCATTATCAAATAACAGTCGAGGGCAGATATTCCTTACCACGTATCCCTATTGCGAAGAGATAGCATGTTCAATTAAAATGTACATGTATATATGTTACTATGTCGTGACAGTATGTGTGGAATACACAGATTCTTGCTTACGATTACCATCACTCACGATAGTCATTAGACATGCGTTGCCTTGACTGCACATGCATTTAAGAATTATAAAAAGATAGTCGAGTTTGGAATCTCCTCTTTTTAATGTTTAAATTATTGTTTATATATAAACTCAATGGCAAATAAGTTAAGGGCCCACTACATAACCCTGTTATATCGTATAATAACGTATATCGTATATTGTCATATAACGACCTCCCTATGATGTTCTAAAATTTTAAACGATAAACATACCATTACATAGTATAAAATAAAGTCGCTGTCGCTACCTGTCCCTATGTATACTAAAATCTTTAAAACTGCACAACGGATTTTGAAGCGATTTTTTTTAATAGAAAAAGAAAGAATTATAAAAAATAAGTTTGATATAAGAAACTAATAACATAGAATAAAATTCCGATTTCATATTGAAACGTATATGCCGTAAACTTCACGTGGTTAAAATTCTACTTACTTACATATACTATGGTTGGTGGTTTGGAAACCTCTGATTACATTTGATCTGACCTGTTCCGTACCCGGAACACCCTATTAATTGTTTATTCCAAATAAATCTGTGCTTAGTTTGCCTTAAATTAAATTAATACTATTACATTACTCGTCTTGACCTTTACCTATAACTTGTGATCGTGTTTAACATCGTAAATTAAAAGTACTGAACTGACTGTACAGCGGCCTTGACGCGCGCGCGCATTGTGTTGTGAATTAAAATAAATTAGAACTATGTTAAACCTACTGTGAAAGTGTGTGAAAGCTAGCGAAGATATCTTCGAGACCCTGAAGCCCAAGAAATCCGCAGAACCATACAGGTACATGACTGACGCTTCCATCATTTTTCACTATATATACAGAGAGTAAATTCCCTAACATTTTGGTAGCAGAGTAGTTTCCCAAACAGTTGGTATTCAATTGAATGGATTTTATTCAATTGAATAATTAATCGATCCAGCAACCATCGGAAGCATGGCGGTGTGCTAAACTGTTAAGCTACCGAGGTCGTCAAATATAATATAATAATAATAATAATAATAATAATAATTTTTATTTTGCATCCAATATTTACAATTTAAATTGTTCCCTGGTACCTAAACTAAGTAGAAACTTGTATTTTAGGTACCAGTTCCCTCCTCTTACATACAATTCACAATGTTTGGAATTACAATTTATAAAAAGACAATTAAATAAGTTAATAACACAAGCTTATCATTATTTACTTGCAAAGGGTATGTGTGTGTGTGTGTGTGTGTGTGTGTGTGTGTGTGTGTGTGTGTGTGTGCGTGTGTGTGTGTGTGTGTGTGTGTGTGTGTGTGTGTGTGTTGTGTATGTGTGAGAGAGAGGATAAGAGAAGAAGAAGGAGAGATAAATATTAATACCAATACTAATACGGGGACACTAGTGTTTCACAGTTTTCATATTCAAGTGGTTTTAGCCATTTCAAAATAATCTTTTTTATATCATGATTAGATTTATCCTTTAATTTATCATTATCGTTGCCAGCAAGTGCATTGTATAACCGAGGTGCTATATAATTAAATTGCTTCTTTGCAAATGTTGTTTTCACAAATGGAATTGGATATTTAAATTTTCTAATAATGCGTTTTGGTTCACATGTTATTGCTGGCACAGTTACACGATGATATCGTCTTAAACACTGATATATGAACATTTTACGCACTGACAAAACATCAGCATGTTCGTATACCAGCGTTGTAGGATATCTATATGGTAGTGAAAACATAACTTTAATCACCGCCCTTTGGGCTCTCTCAAGTTCAATTAAATATGATTTTGAGGCACATCCCCACGTACAGATGCAGTAATTAATAATACATTGACATAACGCCTTAAAAGTTTGCAGAATCAGATCCTTGTTAGCCACTTCCCTTAGATTTCTAAATATTATTATAAGTTTTCTAATTTTTTTTGCAGTATATGAGATGTGAGGATTCCAATTTAATATAGTAGGAGTAACAGTACCTACTTAAAAGGTTAGTCTTAGTCCTTATTAACCTTAATGGATGATCTCGATAAATGATTCATAAAGGCTAAAAAATTTAAATACAAACTTGACATACATTCAAATGTACATACCTAATTGTATGGTTACCTGACTACACTGCAACATAAATCACTTTGTAAATTGTGCAGTTCTTGATTTTGTACATAATAACCTAACGTTCGTGCTCAGGGTTAAAGATGAATGGTCAATATAAATAAAATGCTAATGTGGTAGTTTTATATAAACCTAATACTTTATTGTTAAACTGTCAAAATTAAT